TGCAACAACCTCTACTGGTACAGGCACAAATAAGGTCTTGTAGAAGCTCAGCTGCTATTGGGCCCTTGAAGAGTACAGGCAGTAGTTCATCCTCTACACTGCAATAGTGATCCAATAGCTGGTTTACCGATTTGTGGAGACATTCAAATATTTGTTTGCCAAGATGCTCTTTTGATGTGCTTTTCAGAACTGTCCTCAGGTCTAGATTGAGGCGTCTCTATGGGTCTCTTTTTTTTCTTTCTCATGCTGGTCAGACAGCACCGCTGCCAACTTATTTGGTGCAGAAATTGCTGCTTGTCCATCACTCTTTCCCAATTTGGCAAGATGTCGGAAGTGGTACGGTACCTTTGTTTTGACAACATTAAACACAATTTTTTCTAAATATTAAATAGGGCTGATACAGAGTCACATCCTGTTAATACATGTACAGCAGGAAGTGTGTTTCAGAAGTCAGGGTGAATGCATCACAAATTGCATGCACAGATACGAAGCAGTGCTTGTCCATTGTGCTGGTAATGGTAATGGTGCCTACATGTTACCTATGTGTTCCAGTTTTGGAAAGCAATGAACAGCAAGGATCAAAACTTGTGTATCAGGTGACCTTATTATGGTTCCTTTGACACACAGAGAGCCAAAATCCATATTGGTACATACAGCATGCAAAAGTATCCTTATGTCTTCTTCCTCTTGAGTTCTGTATAAGTCTTGGACTACTTCAAAACCCTCTACTGGTGATGGACTTTGCTTATTTCACCATCCGAAAAGCCTCCAGCAAAAAGGAATTTTTGTGTTGGGTGTGCTCCTACACGCTCAGGTGCATTTTTAACCCTATATTCATAGAGGAATTTTAGAAGTGACTGCCTGTTGGATATCACATTTAGAAACTTTTTCCATGGAGGCACAGGGCATCCACCAATCATCTGGTATTTCTTGCATCCAACCTTATATCCTATCCAGCACAGTCTGTCAGCAGTTTTCACAAAGTTTCTGCCATATCTGTCAAAGACTTTGATTACAGAATTGGCTTTGTCAAATCCTTTTAGGACCTGCCTTAAGTACTCAGCAGATAATTCATCGAATGCTTAGAATTAGTCTCCAGCCATCAGTTGTATGACAGCCATGGCATCTCTGGCTTCTTTGTTGTATGCTCTTTGCTCATGGAGTCTTTCAGTTTGAGCTTCCAGATGATGCCTTAATTCAGTTTTATCTGTTCTTCTCATTGTTCCATCAGCATGGAAGAGGGGCACAGGCACAGGTCCTATTGGTTAACTAAGAAGAGTTGCCATTGAAACATCATCTCTGCATCTTGCTAAGGACGGGGCTCTGCAGAAAACAATTTCAGGACTAATAGCTGCTGCAAGTTTCCCTCCTTTGCCTGACTTAAATTTGGTGGTCTTGGCCATGTCAGCAAATGTTTTGATGCCAGATTTCTTGACTGAGCTGAAGAAGATATGTCCTGTCAGAATCAAGTGCCCCTCTCATAAATCTCTCTATTTGTTCTTCACCAACATCTGCTGTTTTCAGTAGACTCGTGTACACCTGGTTTTACATGCAGTCTAGCAAATATGTTGTTAAACTCCTCTGGATGTGATTCAGGTCAAATGGGTTTGTCATATTGTTGATGACATTGTTGATAAGAGTTGTAACATGCTCTTCACCCTTCAGTGCAGAAGTCTTCATTACTTCTCATTAGGCCACTTCTTTCTCCCATAGCTTTTGCATATTTATATTATGGTGCTATGTATTATCTCTAACACTGAGCTCTGCATAAGTGTCACTGAATTAAAAAGCTAGTTTCTAGAATATTTCAAATGCAAGTACTGCATGCATAGGCAATTACAAATTAAAATATTTTACCAGGCAGACTAGATGCTACATTATATGTACAATAGCTTACAGATGGAGAAGCACTATATTAGGAATTCACATACATTTATATGTACCCACTATGCAGCACAAACTGTAGGCACACAATCTGCTTCTACTGGTGCAAAATCTTCAGTATGAGACTGATCTGGTCAGCAAATTTCAATTGAAGGTATAGAAAACTATTATCACGTGTAAGATACTTTGATATTGATAGTATCAGAGGGGTAGTCGTGTTAGTCTGGATCTGTAAAAAGCAACAAAAAGTCCTGTGGCACCTTATAAACTAACAGACTTATTGGAGCATAAGCTTTCGTGGGTGGATACCCACTTCGTCAGATGCATATTGATATTCACCATTTTTTGCCACATTCTAAACAGCTTCATTTCTGAAAAAAATACTTGCCCATGCAAAACTAAAAAAAGTTTTTAATACACTGTTGTTTGGTAGCTTTGACCAAGAAGTACCACACTAAGGTGCTGAAATTAACTTAAACAGTAAAAACTGTACTCATGGTCCTGTTGCAGTGTTTCTGGAACTGTGCAGAAAATGACACTTTTTTGTTTTTAGGTACCAGTGTTTCACCTTGTCTACAGGCTTACGGCACCACTTGACTACTCCATTTTATGCCTCATATAAACATACATAAAATAAGTTTTCAAGTTATATATGGTGTGGGTGTGTGTAGGGTGAGTACATTAGTATGGTGTCAAGTGCTCCCAGTACTTCTGTTAGTCTCAAAGGTGCCACAGGACCCTCTGTTGCTTTTTACATTAGTATGGTCCTTTTTGGAGAATTGTCGCACGCCTAAATGGTCACACAAACGGGACCTGTTGGCCAACCACCCTACACCAGGAAATGGTGTGGAGTTCACCCCAATGATGATCTGAAAGCCTAGTGCAGTGCCAGGCTACTATCCAGAGGAGAGTGTTGCTGCTAGTCTGACTTCAAGCAAGGGGTCTGCTGCGTGAGTAGCCCTTAAGCCATAGTCTTGTTTTCCACCACAAGAGGGTGCTGGTGTCCTGGCTGAAGAGATGCAGGGTGTTTGAGAGCATGAGGAATCTCTGACACAATGTTGCTTCTGTGTGTGTCCAGGAACTGGAGAATGCTGAATTCATCCCTATGCCTGACAGCCCATTTCCTATGAGCACAGACTCTTCAGAGCCTGAAAAGGAGACTCTTCCCTATCAGGAACTGCAAGGACTCAAAGTGGCCTCTGATGCTCCTGCTGAATTCAAGCCCAAGATAGAGCCCCAGGTAACATATATCTTAAGATCACATCTCCCACAATGAATGATGGTTGACTAAGAGCTGATGGGAGCATAAATGGCAACGTTTGAGTTGTGGGGAGGTCTAGTGGGGGCTATTGGATCAGGCTAATTGATGGTCTGGATGAGAGTGGAAAGTGGCATGTTAGTGATGTTCACAGTTGATGCTAACTTGGGAGGAGTTGTGAATACCAGTGAGGAGAGAGAAATCCAAGAGACAGTAGACATATGGGCAGGAAATAAAAGGAGTTTTGGTTTAGGAAAAATGCAGCTAACACATCTGGGGAAATATTAACTCCATGCTGGGAGACTCCAGTGGGAGGGAGGAACCTGGGAAGCATGGACAGGGCAGGAAATTATACAAGAGTTTATAGTGCTGCCATCTCTAGATGAGGTGCTAATTCCCGACTCACCTGGGAAATCAGGCTGGGGTGGGGAGGCATCAACGAGGATTTCAGAATGACAAGCAGGTAGGGACAACAACTGCAAAGAGGGAGGAAGGTGTGTCCACATTTGGAGTCAGGGGAGACCTGGCTGCCCAAGGATCCAGCACTTAGTGCTTGAAAATCTGCAACTTCAGCAGCTGTGGTGCCATCTTTCATCCTCATTCTCTCACCATGGCACAGGCAGCCACTGGCCTGGGAGGTTTCACATGTTCCACACACATACAGACTCACTCCCCCATCTCTCTTTGCAGCAAATGTGTTCAGCTCCAGCCCTGCCTTATATGGAGGGAAAGGCAGCGTCTCCAGTTTCAGCCTGTGTGTGCAACACTTTGCAAACTGAGGTGGAGCGGTTGCAGGGCTTGGTGTTACAGTGTCTGGCTGATCAACAGAAGCTGCAGCAGGAAACCAGTCGTCTCAGTGCCCAGCTCCAGAGGTTCTGCAGGGGGACAGAGGGAATGCAGCAGGTGAGGACATTCCTTGGGTGGGGCATTCAGGCTGAGAATCCCCACACCCTTTGGAAGTTGTGTGTGGGGGTAGAGAATTTTGATCCTAGCTCTGGCTGGATTTGGGGGAGGGGAGGAGAAGAGGAAGAGCTTTTAATCAAACTCAAATCTCTTAAGCCAGGAGGAGATGGGACAGAACAGAGGGGTGTAGGGTAAAAATTCCTTGTGCCTGTTGCTCTTTGTCAACTGCAAAGACACTCTGGTTTACTCTATGGCAATAATTTAATAGTAATACAGCCATGAGGCAGGCACTTCAGTGCCTAAAGGGCTTTGGGCAACTTGTATTTCTCCTGTCCAAGAAGAGGGGAGCAGTTAGATGTAGTGTGCCCTGGCTGGGATTGCCATAGTAGCTCTCTCTGTGATGGTAGAAACTTGCATCTGGAGTAGCCAGCAAATTGTGTATGGCCAGCAGCTGAGTTCTAGGAGTGACTGACTATTTGTCTGGACAGCTGCAGGCTCATTCCAAAGGAACCCAGACAGCCAAAGAAGAGATGGAAACGGATCCAAAAACTGACTTGGATTCAGATTCCTGGTGTCTCTTGGGAACGGACTCATGCCGCTCCAGCCTCTAGTCTCTTGAGCTTGCTGGGGTCCATCCAACTTCACAACACACTAACTGAATGCAGAGAGCGGCTTTCCTGGCTTCAGGTCACTCGCAGATCAGGAGCGAGGGCGGAGGCTCCAGAGCAGCACCCATGTACGTTTGGTGGGAGACACCTCCTTTTAGATATGATCTAGGAGTGAGTTTTCAGAGGGGCAGGGCCCTGAGCTCCGGGCCATGGTCAGCTCAGTGATTATGGCAGCAGCAGCTCTTCTCTGTACCTCATCCATCAATCCTGCCCTTGAGGCAAGACAACCCTGGACCCATCATGTTGATGGCTCCAGTAGCAGCTTGTGGCCCTTTTTGTTTCACTGCTTCCTGAGAGCTGCCCTTGGGACCCCAGCATTAGTCACTGCACCTCTAGATGAGAGAGAGAGAGAGAGAGAACCATTGAGAACGGAAATTGGCTGAACCCTAACTCCCCACCTTCACTTTAGAGCGGTGAACTCTGAGCTGCTCCCAGCCATTATGGCAATGGACAGGGCCCTAGCCCGTGGGACAGCTCCATCCTGCTTACGGGCAAACAGAGCTTTGAATGTGTTTTACTCTGGAGGCAGTGGGGAGATGGTGATAGAAAGCATGCCCCTGACTTGAGATGCAGGCTTTGGCCATACAGCTGTGTGCCCTAGTCCTACAGGTGAAGTTTAAATGCTTTATTCTGAGGGCCTAGCACTCAGCTAGTGCTTTTCACCCTCCAAGCACTGCACAAACAGGAGAATTGGATGTAGTTTCCAGTTGTAGCAGAGGGAACTGCTTGAGATAGGGTTGTTGAGTTCAGACCAGCTGCTTCCTAACCAGAAAAGGTGTATCTGGATCTCAGGCTGTTGCACACTCATTACTCCATCTGTTCAGATAGTTTTGGGCGCCAGAGCTCCTCTTGTCATGTCTGGTTTCTCAGAGCGAGTCCATTGCTGCTCCTGGCTTTGCTTCTACTTATCCCTCACAATAGGCTGGCACACAGTCTCTATGCTGGTGTCAGCATCGTCAGTATTTTTTCCCCCTCCGTTGTTTTGACAAAGTGGGAGCACAGCTGCCCTCTCAGCATGGGTCTCTACTGCAGTGCACACAGAATGTATCTTTCCCAAGGGCAGTATATGGTTAGGCCTCAGTCTAAAGCTCACCCCTTCTCTAGCTGCACCAGGTTCTCTCCCCCAAGGAACTTGAAGTGGCCTGACACTTGGGACTTTCCCATATCTCTAGTAGGGAATGAGATAGATTTTTCTAAATTGTTTAGCTAATTGACTTGGGGTGGATTTTTGGGTTGGGAAGGGCCTCTAGAGGGAAGCTAGTCCCTCACCCCTTCCCCAAGGTGGGGCTTCAAGGGAGCAGAGTCCTCTCCTCCCGTGCAGTGGGGTGGGACTGTGATTTCATTATCCCTAAAACTGTCCCCATCACCAGGGTGTCTCTAGTGTTGCCTTGAATCTTTCAATGAGAGCTGTTTCACCTGCCTTAGACTTTTCTTCCCTTGTGGGGACTGTTTAAGGGTGCTAACATTTTTCTTGATGAAATCCTCTGTCTGGGGACAGATGCCAAAGCGTCCTGTCTTTTAGGATCTTCTCTAGTGCCTATCACTGTAGTATTCTAGAGCTGAATCAAATGCAGTCTGTTCTGGGCAGCAACCTGGGCAGTTAGACCTCAGTCTGGCTGTCCTTATCATTGTAGGGAGGGAAGGAGGGAGACAGCCCCAATGTAGGGTCTTGAATGCCAGGAGTTCAAGGGTTGCTTGGTTACTGTTGGGGACAGTGCCCTCTCTTCTCCCATATGCATTGGAGCTAGTTCTCAGGTTAGGAGTTTCAGCATAAGAATTCTGTTGCTGCAGTGGAGATGGAGTCTGTCATGTTGCAGCAGTGGCTTTGAGAAGGAGTGAGGTGCTAAGCCTAAGCCATGTCCAATAAGCGAGCACCAAGCTGATGGGAGTCGCTCTTCTGCAGTGCACTGCTATCCTCATTTCTCAATGCTTTGCAGTTGGGAAGACTGGATTCCCCTTGGGATCTAGTAGAGGATTCAGATCCCTGGCAGAGGGTGTCCTGTGCTCCACAACCACATATGTGCCTTAGAGGATTCATGCTATCCAAGTTGTGCCTATTAAAGACCACTGATTTTCACACCAGCTAGCTATGCAACCAAAAAAGCAGTTTAAACCCAGCACCATGTTTTGGGATGGAAAGTGAAGGGCAAGTGGGCAGAAGTGCCTTTGAACAGTTTCAAAACCCTTTCTACTTCTCCCCTATTTGCATTGCTAGCTCCCACATGTCAGTCTTTTGCTAGTTTTGCTATTGAGTTGTTATAGTGGAACACGACTTATGCCTGCTCTGACACTGGCAGAATAACTAGTTTGTCATTGTCTTTCTTTGAAAGAATAAAGAATGGAGTGGTTTGTAGTTTGTTTAAATAAATGTTTAAACTAATTCTCCAGTGCGTCCTGTCTCTCTGCATATTCCCACCTCTCCTCCAGGCAGAATATTGAGTCAGGGCAGGTTCCTGTTGGAGCAGGGTCTCCTGTGTTCTCATTTCACCAAGAGGTGTGGGGAAAGTGTGCACGCACTCAGCTTAGGGGAAGGTTTATTGCTGTGAAAAAGTGGCAAGTTTTGCATTACGAGGGACATCTACATGAAAAGAGGCTGTGTGTTCCACGAGAGACCTGATCTCTTGATGCTGCTTCTTTTCCTGATGAGGATACCGTTTTTACCACAGCTCCAGTGGTACCACGTGGGGTATGAGCAGCAGGAAGAGATGGGCTCCAACGGAACAAAATCCTGGTTCTCTTAGAACAGCTTTTACTGGAGTGTTAAGTCTCCCACAGTCACCTATTCAGCAGTTTTAATAAGCGGCACTGCTGCCTGTTCTGATGATATATTTGCATTACCAGAGCATCAGTCATGGATCAAGGTCCCATTGTGCTGGGTGCTGTACAAACAGAGAACATAAAAACTCTGATTCTCCCTTACTTCTCTGGAGGTTTTAATCAGGGCCTCCTGTATTCTGTGGTGTCGGTGTGCCTGCCTGAGTCTGCAGATGAACTGAAACAATAGCTCAACAAGAGCAGTGAACTGCCCATTGTTGACTCTGAAACATAAAGATGGCAAGCCAATTATCTCCTGGCATAATTTCATTGACTTCAGTAGTGTAACCCTAGCAGACAATTTGACTTACAACTTCAATGTCAACATTAGCTATTTAATCTGCTCATTATTTTAGCAGAAATTTGCAGTGAATGTGTTTATCCCACAATCCCAAACTGCCTCCCACAACTTCCCAAGAGCTAAAAGCTCCATTGTCCTCACCAACTTCCCCTGCTGACTTCTGTGATGCAGATCAGCATTGCTGACACCAACAGCCTTTGGCACATTGAGAACAGGGTGAGGACGGTGTAAAATTGGATTTAATAAATATAAACACATCACAGGGCTTACTGTACTGATTTTCTTAAACTTGTTTCATGTTTAGTTCATTTTAAACATTCATTTATCCATCAGTTCAGATGAATTTCCACTCTCCCCCCTTTCCCATTTTCTTGCTATTTACTCCTCTCCTGCCTTCCTGTGACCTCACTGCTACCCCATAATAATAAAACCAGAAATGGAGTTACTAAGCCGTGTGCCCAGCCTCCCATGATCACTCTGCATGTATGTTGAACCCATTTCAGACCCCGTGTCTGGATTTTAATATTTCTTCCTAGGCTGTAAGCTCTTCAATACTTGTACAGTGCCCAGCACCATGCAGCTTTAACCCTAATTGGGGTCTTTGAGAACTACCCTAGTGTCCCAAGGGAGGGGGCTTTGCTCACTTATCTTGGGGACAGGAGGTCTCCTACTTCCTTGGGAGACTATTACACACCTCACAATCAAGGACTATTTCCACATATCCAGCCTCTGACTAAGCCTAGTTAAATCTGGCCCGTGTATCTTCCCCAGGCTGTGCTGAGTTGGGGCAGGATCACCGTGGGCCTTGAAGAAAAAGCTACTGGGCTTTTTTTTGTTCATTTTCTCCTCTCGTGAATTACTTGTTCTTCCATTGGTATCCCTACACTGCTTGTGACCCACCTGCTAGGACTTCGTTAGTATTGAACAACCTGCTACTTACATGGGGCCTAAAGACATCTGCCAGCCTGGATGCTCTCCATGGAAAACTGAGGCTGGAAAGAACCTTGCAGCTGAGTCCAAGTTTGTGCACCTGGTAAGTAATCCCTTTGTAACAGTCACCCTGTTGCCTAAAGGCCCTGACCCAGCTCTAGGAGTCTTTACCATTCCACAGTTGATGCTGGAACTGATGCTGGAACTTGGGCTGAAAGGTGCCTCTCCAAATACTCAGTAAGTGGCTGGTCGTGCATAGCTTCTCTGCTACGATGAGGCCCCTCTGCAAGCCTTCTGCCCCAAGGAATTCTTGTGCTGAAGCAGCATTTTATGGGTCCTCCTCCCCAATCTGCTCTTCTGATGAAAGAGATGCTATGTCAAACATGGCACAAAATTAAGGTTTTTGGATGTTGAAAAGCAAAATGTTACTGACCCAAAGTCCAATAGAAACAGTCCCAGGATTTTCATGAATTCCTGTGGAAACAAGTTAAATAAATCCTCCTGTGAGCTATTGCAGGAGAAGCATGGAATGAGCCTGCCTGCTCCGTTTTTCATTGTTCAGCTCAAAACCAATGCAGAAAATAAACAGGACTGAGCACAAAAAGGCAGCTGAGAGAGGGAAGCAGTTCTGGATTCTGCCTCCAGGGGCTGTTAGAAACAGAGGGAAGGAAAGCTGTAGTTTGTACATTGTTCCAACATGCTAATGTCTTGTCTTCCCCCTCTCTGCAAAGAAACCACCTTTCCTGACTTATCCAAACTACTGTATCATCCCACACAAGGCCTCTCACTGCAGGAGCTGAGAACTCTCTCCCACCCCTTCTTCCCAGAGATCGCCACACACAGGCTTGGCAGATGAAGCTGGAGAGTTGATCTTTGGGGGCTTTCATGTGCCAGCATCTGCAGCTAAACAGCAGTAGAATTCTAGCCCACTCCCCAGCTGTTCTGCAGACAGGTGCTTCCTTCAACACAGTCAGGGTGCTAACATACAAATATCAGTTTGATCTCAGCAGCATAGGGGTATTTTTGTGTGGCTGTTTCAAGGCTGAGCACATTGTTGGTGCCTAACTAAAGGGCTTCTTTCCATCTGTGAGCTCTGGATGACCTCTGCCCCACACTGTCCTACTACATGTCAGAGGAAAGAGCCCTCAGCCTTCCATCCCCACCACCTGCCCATAGCAGCTAATCATGTTTCTGAGGACCAGCCACCCATGGTGGTTCTTCCCTTGCTGCTGTCCCACCAACAACCCCATTCCTTACACAAGGGACATCATGGTAATCTCCTCCCACTCACACCAAGACCCAGCAATCTCTTCAATCAAGAGAACTTGAACTCCTTGTGAAGAGCTGTAGAAGGGGAAGGGATGGGAACCAGCAGCAGTAGGGTAGTGGCCTAAACTCTCACGGACCTATCTGCAAACACTCAGGAACCACTGGCTGCAGCTCAAAGTACAAGCACTTTAGTGTTCTGTTCATGGGGCCTGAGCTCCTTACTCACTTTACATGGGGATATCTCAAAAGTTAGCAGCCTGCTTGGGGGATGGTGAGGACACAAAGCTTCCTCTAGACAGTTTGAGAGAGAAAGAGAGCTGGGATTCACTGCAGTGTGTCATCCTTAACGTCTCCTTTGTGGTGGTGGGGGGGGTCGGTTCTTGATGGTCTTGCACTTGGGAATATGTCTCTCGGCCACCTTGGGTGCAAAGCGGCGGTTGCAGTGGGGGCAGGAGATATAGTCTGGGTTCTCTACAGGGGGCAGTGGGGGCAGGTCTGAGAGCTTCCCCCCTTTGGAGATCACATGCTGTATCTCACGGGCCTGGCGCAGGGTCCGGATGAAAGACTCATGCTTTTGTCTCCAGTTGTTCTTGGGTGGCTCATTCTGCACAGAGGGGGAAAAGTGGTTAGTATAGATGGCAGGAGCTATAACTGGGCTGGCTCCAGGTCCTGCCTTATTCACCATCTTCTCATAGAGGGCCCAACCCCATACTCAGCCCTGAACCCACCTCCAGTGCAGCAAAGCCCCAGATTGGTACTACCCCTTTAAGGCAGCCGAGACAGTGGAGATAGATGGTGGTTGACAAGGGAAGGCATCAGTCATCAGGAGGAGCAGGGGAAAGTAGCCACCTAAAGGGACCCTGCAATTATACTGCAGCTCCCTCAACCTAAGCACAGCAGACATGCCCCACCTCCCAACACTAAGAGGTTGCCCCCTGATGGGAGCATCCTGGCCTGGTGGGAGTGGGTTCTACCCCTTGCACAGTGTAAAAGGCCCGAAAGTGGCATAGGTGCTGGAACAATTTTTATAGTGGAGGTGCTGAGAGCCATTAAGCAAAACTGTAAACCCTGTAAATGATGGAAACCACTTCAAACCAGCAGGTGCAGCACCACTGTTCCAGCACCTATGGGAAGTGGAGGTGGGTCTGATCTCCCCCTTGCTGCTGGGAGTGCCCCAGTCAGGATCTCCTAGTTGCTAGCCTTGGTCCATGGTAGACTAATTGTGTCCAGGAGCCCAGGTCAATTTGGGGGTACCCCAAGCAGAAGCCATGGTTACCCTAGCAGGAGCCGCAAGCCCAGCTCTGGGGCTGCTGCAGTAGAGAAGTGAGGGTGTACCACCCTTATTTCTGTGCGGCCCCTAGAGGTGGGTCTGATCTCCCCACCAAGCAGGGCCGGCTCCAGGCACCAGTGCAGGAAGCAGGTGCTTGGGGCGGCCAATGGAAAGGGGCAGCACGTCTGGGTCTTCGGCGGCAAGTCCCTCAGTCTCGGAGGGAAGGACCGGCCGCCGAATTGCCGCAGAAGAATGAAGCGGCGTGGTAGAGCTGCCGCCAAAGTGCCGCGATCGCGGCTTTATCTTTTTTTTTTCTTTGCTGCTTGGGCGGCAAAAAAGCTGGAGCCGGCCCTACCACCAAGGGGAAGGACAAATCCCATCCCTCCCCAGCCCAGCCTGGACTAGCAGCCCCCAGCTGGGGCACTCCCAACAGCACGCTGAGATCTGATTTCACTGGGAAGGGCTTATTTCACAGCCCATGACACGTTTTTCACAGATGTGAAATTAGTAGGGCCCTACTTATAAGCAAGTTCTTTCAGACCCCCTCATTATTTTGGAGATCAGGTGACTATCTCCAGGAAGCGTCGGTGTCCTAAACCAAGCCCCTAAAACCTTCTAATGCTGGGTCCTGTGTATGGGCTCATTGCTGGCCTATCCCCTAAAGGTGGCGATATTATAGTGGGCCTGAATGGAGTGTCAGGGGCATAGTAGGTATTAAAACAGGTATAATTCCATGCTTCTTAAAGAGGGTTTCAAGGGGGAAGGACTGACCCACCACCAGGCCAGCCAGTTGCCTGGAAGTGCATGTTACCTGGGTGGGGTTTTTGCCCTTCCAGTGCTGATATTGCTCCAGCTCGGTTCCCCTGGCTCTCGCCATGCTTGAGTCAAATACTTTCCTCTTGGAGCCTTGGCTCTTGCTGCAAACATTCATGTGCTTCTCCAGCCGGAGATGGAGAAACCTACGCCCACAGAAGCCACATTCTCCTAGTTCCCCCTGCTCCCTGCCAATGGGATCCTGTGAATGTAACAGTTCTGCTGCAGGGTCTTGTTCTGAGGGGGCTGCTGCAGGTGGATCCTGGCTGTGTTTCATGACCAACTTTGAACAGGAGGCCATGCTCTCCAAAGCCATGTGCTCTTGAATTTTGCTGTTGCTGGCCACCAGCCGCCCCTTCTTGAGTCTTTCTATGCCCTGCACATAGGGAAGGTGGGTATTGTTTGGCATGGGCATGGCACCCTCTGGAGACTGCTCCCAACCACAGTCCCCCTCACTGGGCCTGGCTGTAGCCCTGAAAATGTTCCCCCCAGAAAGCCCTGCTGCTTTCTTCTCTTGCATCCTCAGACCCTCTCTCTCCTTTCTCTCTTCCACCTCCACCTGCTGCTTCTCTCTCTGGATCCTCCTGAGTTCCTCCTCTGTTCTCCTCAGCTTCTCTCTGAGGAGGGCCTCTTTCCTCCGGATCTCCTCCTCCAGGCTCTGCCCAGCTGCCTCCAGCCTTTGGATGTAACCCAACTCTGCCCTGCTTGGATGGGTGGCTGACTGCTTACGCTGCTCTGCTGCCAAAGAAGATGGCAATACAGCTGGCTGGGCCCTGGCTGCGGGCAACTTCCCTCTCTTCTTTGAGCTAGAGCTAGAGCTATTGCTGGGAGATTCAGCCATGGGTGGCGAGCTCCTGAGCTGACTTGTGCTGACCACTGGAACACTCTCAGCTTTGCGGTGAAAGACTGGTTTCAGAGGGTAGGACCGGTCCACCCCTTCTCGCCGTCTGGCTGCCTGCTTGGAGGGCAAAGTACTGGTCTGGCTGGTGAGATACCTGCTATGGGGTCCAGCAGAGTAGAAGCCTCCCTGTCCAGAGTCCTGCTGGCTGCTCCCAGAAGAGAGAGAGCAGGAATAACTCCGGCTTTTGCAGATGCAAAGATCCTTCAGTTTCTCCTCCTTGTCACGCAAGAGCTGCTGCTGGAAGTTGTTCTTCAGGTGTTCTAGCCGGGACTGGTGCCCAAGGGTCTTGGGATGGTATCTCTTCTGCCCTGTTAATGGAAGACTGGGAGCTGCCACCATAGAATCCACAGGTGGACACACAGCCAGTTGCAGCTGAGCCATTCAGTGCCTGTGGCAGAACATTGGGGCAAAAACAAAAACATTACAGACATATTTGTTCCCAAGATGGGGCTTCCTCCCCAAAAATCTATACTCTAGAGCAGGGGTGGGCAAACGTTTTGGCCTGAGGGCCACATCTGGGAATAGAAATTGTATGGCAGGCCATGAATGCTCACAAAATTAGGGGTGGAGGGGGGACCAGCCCAAAGAACATTAATGGAGCTGTTGAATTCTCTAATGCAGTTGGAAATAAAATGCTTCTTTCCCTGCCCGTGCAATGTCTTGCTATGAAAGCAGCAGGAATGTGCTCAGCCAGCAGGGAAGTCTATTCCACTGAGACCAGGAAACAGGCTACAGCCTTCTGCTGATATTAGAACTCACCAAACCCTCTCAGTGACACATTGCAAACAAGGCTGAGAATGGGGCAGGTTTGCAGGGACTCTGTCAAACTAAACAGCATTTATTGTTATCACACACACACACACACACACACACTTTCCCTTATATTAACCAACAGCCCCTGAGGTTGCTAAAGCTGAATGAATTTTGACAGGACCTGCAAAGTGCAGTTGATGCTGATGATTGTTTCCTTCATTGCCCGTCTCTCAGCCCAGACAGTGAAAATCAATGAGGTCACGTTCCTTGGTGGGATATTTCCGTGTCCCAGACGCTGAGACAGGCAGCGTTGTCAGACGGAGACAAGGCACGGCTTGCTCCGCGAGAGGTGGCTGCTGAGCTGGGACTTGAACCAGGCCCTTAAGTAAAGCACCCTTCCTCCTTTCCGCGTGGGGAAGGCCCGGCCCCGCTCGGGACCCGTTATCCCATGTCAGCGAAGGGGGATCGGGAGGTGCTCGGCACCACAGAAAACGCCCTCTGGCGAGCGAGGCTGCCCAGACACGCTCCGACACCCCAGCAGCCAACCCCCTGCCCTGACTCCCGCCCCGGGAAAGGTTCCCCCCACCGGGCGAGGTGCTGCCCTCACGCACCCCCAGGGAAACAAACGCCCCGTCACCGCCATCCTCACCTGGGCCTCCGGCCGCGCTGGGCGCCGCGCACTGTCTGTTTACTACAGTTGCCTGGAAACCAGCACGGCAACGCAATCTCCAGGGTCGCTCTAGCCTCCAGCTGAGTCGGCCGCTCTGGCGCTCGGCTCTATGGTCTGGGGCTGCTCTGTTCCCGGCTCTATGACCGGACGGCGGTAAAACCCGGAGCGCGCCACAGCCGTTGGGCAGCGCGAGTCCTCGCTCTGGCTGCGGGTCCCTGGCTGGTGAGTCCGGCCGGACCCGTCTCCCCGCCCTGCTGCTTATTCGTGAAGTTGAGGATGGGGACAGGTCGTGGGCGGAGCCGGACGCCTGCCCGGGGGGCTGGCGGAGGCGTGATCCCGCCTCCAGGGCACGGCGGGGAGCAGAGGCAGCTCTCTCTGCCTGCTGGGAGGGCCGGGGGGCTGCTCAGTGGCTCCTTCTTGGGCACGGGTCCTGGGACGTTAGGCACCAAATAAGGCGCGGTTCCGGCCTGCCTGTCTCCCCCCCTCCCCACCCCGGTCACTCCCTCTCCCCCGAGCCCCGCAATGCAGCCGCAGTGGGGCCCCGCGGGAAGCCCGTCTTGCCTGCGTGGGGGAGGAGGATGGTGGCATCCCCCTGGATCTCTGCTAATAGTCGCCGCTTTGTTTTTGTCCCAGGCGCGCGTGACTATGACTGAGGGCGACAGCCTCATCTCTGTGGACTATGAAGTCTTTGGGAAGGTCCAAGGAGTGTTCTTCCGCAAGTACACCCAGGTGTGTCTGCTGCAAATGCTGGAGCAGAGGGCGAGGCTGGCGGCTCAGCCAGGATGGGGCTGCTCAGGCACCTTGATCTAGTCACCACCGGGGCCCAGGTTGTACTGAACTCCCATCTGTATTTGAATCTCAGCACAGGCTGGGCCTGAGCTGCCTCTCCCAACTTGGCATTGGCCCTATCTACCTTGTAGCTGCTGTTGTTTCCCCCTACTGCTCTTCTATGTTTTCTCCTTTTGGGGTAGCTGCAGGAGTCACCAGACTTGCCTTCTGGATCCATTACTTTTTGGTGGAGAGGACTGGGGTTGGGTTGTGACTTGCTGAGGACTTGTCTCACTAAATAAGTACAGCCCATTAAATTCCAGGTCCTAGAGCAAGAGTATTGTCTTGGGACTGGAGTGGCCTAGGTATTGCTGAACCCCCTAGAGAACAAAATCTGAGTTAAATTTTGTACTTTAATGAAAAACATTAACATTCAAGGTCAAAGTCTTTTCCTTTTGGAACCTCCTATCCTGGGGAGTCACCTTACCCTCTTCCTGGTCAGCCGACATTCTGTTGTGATCTCTTAATGGTCTACATCACAGACTCTTTCCGGCAAAGGTCCCAGAGGCTTTTATGAGGCTGCTGGGTCATTTGTAAGTAATTCAGCTGAGACTCAGTCAGGAGAGTCTTTGCTGAGTCACTAGCATCATGGCTTTTATACCCACAGCTGTGTTTTGTTTGGAATCTCTTGACACTGCCTGTTGCCAGTGACACCTAGATTGTATTCCCTAGGGATAACTCAAGGGATGTATTGCAGGTGCTGTTTTCAATATAAAAGTGTTACAGTGGATAACTGGATTAATCCCAAAGTGCATTCTGTCTGGCTATTCCATGGGATCTCTCTTATAGATGGCTTTCCGGTGGTCCTCCCTGGGGACTGATTCCTATATAAAGATGCCAGTCTGTGGTCTGCCTTCAATTCATATTAATCCCATCTTCATCTCACATTTCCGTTTTAGGCTGAGGGTAAGAAGCTGGGGCTGGTTGGCTGGGTCCAAAACACCGAAGATGGCACTGTGCAAGGACAAATCCAAGGTCCCAGTGTCAAGGTACTGGAGCTGCAGGAATGGCTCAGGAAGACAGGAAGCCCCAAATCCTACATCAGTCGAGCAGAATTCCGCAATGAGAAGAAGATTGTTGCACTGGAGTACAGGAACTTCAGCATTGTGAAATAACTAGACTGAAAGACAGAAAGCACTGAGGAGGGAGTTGAGCTCTCAAAAACTTCCCCACCAACCTTTACTTGTTCAGTCAGATAGTGTACAAAAACAGAGAGCCCTTAGTTTTATCTTGTTACTGTTCTAATTTATTGTCTGTTTGTTATCCTATTTAACCCTGAACCTTCCTGAATGCCATGGGCAGGAAAACAGGCAAACTGGAGGGTGAGACTGCCTTTAATAAAGGGATTGTTTGGAAACCCAACCTCTCATATCTGAATTTATTTGCAACCATTCAAACTCATTTTGTCTATAAGAGAACACACAGTCAGTATAATATCCCATCTACTTCACAGAAGTCACATAACCAGCCTTGGAATTGATACCCTGGAGGGCAGAACCATGGAATTTTGGCTTCTTCTAATATTAAATACTGTTAAAGAATCATTTACCTCTCTTTATTTTTTTTAATTTCCAGTTCTCAGAAACAGCTGTTTTATCTTCCATCCAGCAGTGACTGTAGTTGACAGTTTCTATTCTATTGGGTGCCTTGTGTGTACTTCATACCAGCGTCATTGATGTTTTTGGGTGATAGTTGGCCAAGCTGGGAAAGCTTTTAGTGGTACTGCAGCAACACAGCCAGCAGGGGATATTGCTGCTGTTTGTGATGTTTTTCACAATTTATGAATGAATATAGAGCTGGTACAAGACCAAAAGCCCTAGAAATTGAAGTCCTCTCTCTGTCCCCTCAGATTGGTAGAGTAGTAGCACAGCATGCCCAATGCCTTGCTGCTAATTCTCTAGGAGGGAGAGGAAAATTCAGTCTGCGTAGCCCATTCAGTCTTTAGGCTCTATACTGAGACTGCCAATAAAGTGGTTGATTAAAACCAATTGTAGCAGTGGTGGTGGTTTTGTCATGTGGGCACTTGGCTATTAGCAGGTAAACTTACCAACTCATTTTGCAGGTGGAGCTGCCATAATGGGTTTGAAATAGGACCAGCTTCTTAGGGTTACCATATTATTATTATTGGCATGCATCCCTGTGCAATCATGGTATACTATTGTTATTAGTTCATCCAGTTATTCTGAAACATAAGATTTTTTGTTGTTGTTCCATTTTCAGTAAACTTAGCCTGCCCACTACTTCTTTGTGTGAGCCCAGATTGCTGTGTAGTAGACCCTGTATGCTGCTGCTCACTGAGATTTTGGTACACTACCATATGAGGCACACCAGCATAGAGGCAGCTGGCCTCCAGTCAGTGTTAACATAGGGAGAGGAAGAAGTGAATGGGGAATGCAGAAGGAATGAGCCTCTCTGGCCCTATATGTCTAGTGACCTCCAACCCATCTGCACCCTCAAGGGAACATCCTGTCTGCTTACTAGATATTTAGATGCCATCAGTCACCATGCCATTCTAACCCCAACCTAATTTCCCATGCTATCTGCTGTTTGCTCAGCTTTCCCAGAGGTGCTGCTGCCTTCATGAGACTGTTCAGGGGATGGTAGGGAAATCAAAGTGGGAAACCTTGGGCACACGCCCTGGCCATGCCCCACTGAACAATACTGCCAGAGGAGCCAGTGGGCTCAATTGATAAAATGCGACAGAAGGCGCCACCCTCAAGAAAGACTACAACTCCCAGCATGCACTGAATCATGTTGCAAAATATGCTAGGAATTGTAGTCACCTCCGGCCTGCAGTGGTTCTTCCCTCGGCACCACATATCTTCGCTGCGCATGTGCCACAGGGTTTTCTCCCCCCGTCTTCCTTCCAGCGAACTGAGTCTGGGACTTGTACCTTGCGAGCCAAAGAGGCCGCGGCGGGCGGTTGGTCGGGAGGTCTGTCTCGCGCCCCGGCCCTTGGGGTGGAGGGGGCCCCTCCCCCCTCAACGGGTTCTGAGGGAGTCAGGGGAACTGTGCGGGGACATTTTAATTCAGTCACCAAAATGCATCTGCCTCCCTGAGCTGGTGTGGTGGTGGAGGGACTGGGAGGCCCCTGTTTGGCATTGGCCAGGGCTGGGCCAGCACAGCTCCCTCACCCTGCTGCGCCAGGGGATCTGGGCGGGCTCCTTTAAGGGCTTGTTGCTTGTAAGTCGATAGACTTCATTCCTTGGCTGGGTGAACTATTTCCCTTCCTTCCCTGCCCGGCATTCGGGGCAGTGCCCTAGTGAAACTGGGCATCAGACTCTCCCAGCAGAGAGCTAGAGCTGTAATGTGCTCCACACGGGCACCTGTGTAACAGCTGGGTCTCAGTGTGGACCTTTTGCAGGTGCTGGGGCAAGTGACCTAGGCCTGCCCAAATTGAAAAGCCAGTTGATCGCACCTGTAGTGTGGACAGGTGATTGCACTGACACCTGTGACTAGGCTAAATCCTGGGATCTGGGCCATGGTTTGAAATAGGAAGGGGAGCACTTGCTGTACCTGCAAAAGAGGAAGGGAGCTAAGTGGGAATGCTGCTCCCCAAGGAAGAGAAAGGAGAGGGGCTTTCCTCTGCTTTTAGCACAGGAGGGGGAACTGTGCTTCCCCAGTTCCCTTCACTCTAACCTGTAGATGTGAGGTTCAAGGGAAAAGTGTACATCCTGCTAAATACCAACAGGTGATGAATGAACCCATATGGTATAAAATAATCATAATAGAAAGAAAAGCTTAATTTATTAGACACCCCACCACTACCTTTGAGCCAGCCCATGTGCCAGTAGGGTTTTATGGCAACTGCATCTTCCCAGCTGGATGCATGTTGGAGTGTTTCCAAGGATAGATGTTGTCTGGCCATGGTGAGGATGGACATCCTGAGTCCACTTGAAAGAAGAACAGCAAAATAAGTTTATTGGATAATGATGTGAGGAGGGTTCTGAGCCTTGCTTTTGGTGGCATTCAGTACATATTGCTGAAGTTACTGGCAACTGGTGCTTTCCCTGTGCCGGTCATTGATAGCTTGTTTTTGGTTTGTGTGTTTGGATTTTCTTTTAGGAAGTATAGGATTAGGGAAAGGAGTATAGTGTTAATAAGGATTATGAAAATGCAGGCACTTTTATTCTGTATTGTTGCACTTTCATGTCTAGGGCACTGGCTGATGCCTGGTCATAGCCAGGGCAGGGAAAGTGAGCATAGAAAAACACTCTGAATACCAGGAAAAAATTACAGCATTCATGGAGGCAAAATTATTTTTTTAAATGATAACTTGTTATATAGTAACTGTAAGAGATTTTTAAACTCTGAGCTTTTACTCTTTGTCCCTTTGTTTTTTTACAGGGGACTGTTTCAAAGAAGGAAGAGGAATGATGTTCCTGAAATTTCTTGGGTTCCTCACCTTTCTGCTTTTGCCATGATCAAATGTTTGGTGGAAGATGTGCGCACCAGGTTACGCTCTGGAGTGGCCATCAACTCACTGGCCCAGTGTGTTGAAGAGCTTGTCCTCAATAGCATTGATGCTAAAGCAACATGCGTGGCCATACGGGTGGATTTGGAAACCTTCAAGGTCCAGGTGGTGGACAATGGCTTTGGGATGGGGAGAGAGGACCTAAATAAAGTGGGTAATCGATATTTTACTAGTAAGTGCAACTCAGTGGAGGATTTAGAGAATCTGAAGTTCTATGGTTTCCGAGGGGAGGCTGTGGCCAGCATAGCAAGTATGGCCAGCATAGTAGAAATTTCATCCAAGACCAACAATACAGTGAAAACCTTTATGAAACTGTTTCAGAATGGGAAAGCACTGGAAGTTTGTGAGGCTGAATTGACTAGACCAAGTGGTGGAACAACAGTAACTGTGTATAACCTGTTCCACCAGTTACCAGTGAGGAAAAAGTGCATGGATCCCATGTTGGAATTTGAGAGGGTGAGGCAGAAGGTAGAGGCTCTTTCGCTCATACATCCTTCTGTCTCATTTTCCTTAAGAAATGATGCTTCCTGTTCTATGATGCTTCAGCTCCCCAAGACCAAAGATATGTGTTCCCGTTTTTGTCAGATTTATGGACTGGGAAGAACACAGAAATTACGAAAAATAAATTATACATCTGGGGGGTTTGAGTTAAGTGGCTATATCAGTTCTGAAGGGCATTACAATAAGAATATGCAGTTTTTGTATGTGAATAATAGACTGGTTTTAAAAACAAGATTGCATAAACTCATGGACTTTTTATTAAGGAAAGAAAGTGTTATGTGCAAGGCAAAAGGTGGCCTTGCCAACAGACAAATGAGTTCAAATCCTGTTCGGCATCGTGGCCCAGAGCTCTATGGAATCTTCGTTATCAATGTGAAGTGTCAATATTGTGAATATGATGTGTGTCTGGAACCTGCAAAAACTCTGATAGAATTCCGCAATTGGGATGCTCTTTTAGCTTGCATTGAGGAAGGAGTGAAAACATTTTTAAAGCGAGAACATTTATTTGTGGAACTGTCTGGTGAAGACATAAAAGAATTTAATGAAGACAATGGCTTTAGTTTGTACGGGACCAGAGCTCTGCAGCCTGCACTCTCTGAAGAAAAGAGCATACAAGACAATTTTAAGAAAACATGTGATGATATTGTAGATTCTTATGAAATGTTTAATTTGCAATCAAAAACTGTCAAAAGAAAAGTGACTATTCAGGAAAAGTCTTCAGATCTCATAGGTTCAAATGATAATGCTGCAGAAAAGGAAGTCTCTCCAGGTCTGATCATTGGTGAACCGGCTGATACAGCGAGTCCTCTGCTCAACAAAGAAGACACCACTTCTGATTTCTCAGAATTAGATATCTCAGAACAAGAGCCAAAAGAGTTCAACAATCCCAAAATGGTGTTTGTGAACCGCAAGTCTTCAGAAAATCTCTCTGGGGAGTCCAGATCAGAAAGAGTAGAAATAGACAGTTGTTATGCTGAAATGCCACATTGTACTGAGAATTGTGTGGAAGATGCAAGAACACAAGAGGACAGCACAGCTCAGAAAAGCAGCATCAACATTGCCTTCAGAAATGGTGTCACTCAAGGGCAGCATGAGAGAGTTGAAGATACAGCTGATGGACCAGAACTTCTTTGGGGGAGAGCATTGATGGGAATGTCTGATGCGATGAAAGATGACAGTAGAAAAAGTAAAGGGCCAAATAATGATGGTGGAGGAAGGGTTGTTAGATCAGTACCACTGAAGTTGTGTTCCACAGGCCTTATAACTCATGTGTTGCAAAATCCGCCACCACATGAACAAACTGAAATGAATTGCTCCTTAAACATGCATTCTAAATCTGGTCCTGTAAGTGCCAAGGACATATTTGGAAACAAGATGAGCTTTTCAGTTCAGAGTCTAAATGTTCAGGATATTTCTAGTATTTTAAATAAAGAGTATACTACAGTACCCAATAGAGAAGTATGCAGAGCATATGCATATGAGTGGTTAGAAAATGAGACTGTATCAGGCCAGAAGAATGAGGAGGTAGCTTCCATTACTGCAGGAGATAGAAGGGAGTGTGTAACATCACACACTAGAGAGTTGCTTCCTGTCACTTCCTTGGGTTTTGCTCATAATGAAAATAATCCAAGCAACAGAAGACAAATGATTGAGCTATCTGTTAGGCCCAGAACCCAAACCTATAAGAAGCTGAGCTTGTCCATACAGTTGGGATCTTTAGAGCGATTCAGGAGACATTATGGGAAGGTCAGGAGTGCACCATCAGTATCTATTCCAGAGAAGAGGAATGAATTTGAACCTCCAGGTGTTCTTGTTTCTCTAGCTGATCTTGACACCTTGAAGAATCAGAATAACAATTTTGAATGCGTTAACATTTGTGAAACTCAAGTTCTGGAACATGCTGATTCTAATAATAGTTGCCAAGCTGGTTGCCTCCTTTCCTTGGAGAGGTCTCAGTTCTGTGGCAAAGAAACTTTGTTAAACAGAAAAGCTCCTTGTGTGAGAGCGAGTCCTTTGACATTGACTGACTACTCTCAAATTAGAAGAAAAGACTTAAGCAGCAATAGATCACTGGGATCACTAGCTTCTAAACTGTCCAGAATGAAGGGTGACCACAAGGAAGTTTTAGCTACAGAAGTTGTGGGACAAGTTGATGAACAATTCCAAACAGATTCAAGCAGAAAAGAGAACACATTGCATCTTTTGTCTCAAACTGATGATTTTTTGCAGAGTTCTTATCAAATGTGTCAAAGCTCCTCACAAGAAACAGGGGTAGACGATTGCATCCTTGCGTCTGCCTCTGATGAGCAGGATGCTCCCTGCAAAATGTATAGTACAAGAGGAGGGACCATGGAAAATGTCGTGAACCAGTCACTGCTCATCAACACAGATGGGGAGTACATGGCCACCACAAGCAGTGGTTTGGCATTACACAGTGAAAAGAGTTATTCTGAGGGCATCCATAAAGATGGAAATATTGTGGATGTATCTTCAAAGCAGACTTCAAAAGCCACTGAGCTTCCCAGTGTAACTTTGTCAAGTGGTTTGGAAGTACCTGGAGATGTCACAAATGCAGTTCAGTCTAAAAATGAGGAATCAATATCGTGTTCTGTCTGGATGCAACGTTTTGATGTTTCACTGGGTAAGATGGTATACGTCAATAAAATGACTGGACTAAGCACCTACAGTTCTCCTCCAACTGAAGAACTTCAGGCTGCTTGTACTAAAGATATAACTACAATGGCTGTGAATGTTGTCTTACAGAGTGGTAAGTACATGATGTTTAATTTTGTTGCAAGGAAAGAGTGATGCAGATAGTTTGGGTCCTCCTAGCAATCTAAAATGCTCTTTATGGCAATGCCTGCAATTTCCACACAGAAATAACCATTGCATCACATGAATTAGTTCTGTAGAAAACAGGAAAATGTTGATGGCCCTATGGAAATAGTACAGTAGATTCACATTTTGAAAAAGGTATGAAAATAGCAGACAACCAGCTGGTGTCACCCTGCGTCATGCTCTGAGAATTCTCATGATCATGACCCATTTTGTCATTTAATTTGTGAGATCTTATAAGAGCCCAGCTTGAGAAGTATATACACTATGGATCAGATTTTTGAAGGTATTTAGTAGGGCTGTCAATCACAGTTAACTCATGCGATTAACTCAAAAAAATTAATCGCTGTGTTAATCGCACTGTTAATAGAATACCAACTGAAATTTATTAAATATTTTGGATTTTTTTTACGTTTTCATATATATTGTATTCTGTGTTGTAATTGAAATAAAAAAGTGTACAAAAACAAAATAATGTAAAACTTCAGAGCATACAAGTCCACTCAGTCCTCCTTGTTCAGCCAATCGCTAAGACAAACAAGTTTGTTTACATTTACAGGAGATAATGCTGCCCTCTTCTTAGAATCATAGAAGATTAGGGTTGGAAGAGACCTCAAAAGGTCATCTAGTCCAATCCTCTGCTCAAAGCAGGACCAACCTCAACTAAATCATCCTAGCCAGGGCTTTGCCAAGCCAGGCCTTAAAAATCTCTAAGAATGGAGATTCCACCACCTCCCTAGGTGACCCATTCCAGTGCTTCACCAACCTCCTAGTGAAATAGTTTTTCCTAATATCTAACCTAGACCTCCCCACTGCAACTTGAGACCATTGCTCCTTGTTCTGTCATCTGCCACCACTGAGAACAGACTAGCTCCATTCTCTTTGGAACCTCTCTTCAGGTAGTTGAAGGCTGCTATCAAATCCCCCCTCACTCTTCTCTTCTGCAGACTAAATAAGCCCAGTTCCCTCAGCCTCTCCTCATAAGTCATGTACCCCGACCCCCAATCATTTTCGTTGCCCTCCTCTGGACACTCTCCGATTTGTCCACATTCTTTCTGTAGTGGGGGGCCCAAAATTGGATGCAATAATCCAGATATGGCCTCACCAGTGCCGAATAGAGGGGAATAATCACTTCTTTTGATCTGGCAAAGCTCCTACTTTTGTAGCTAGCATTGCAAGGTATTTGCATACCAGATATGCTAAACATTCATTTGCCCCTTTGTGCTTCAGCCACCATTCCAGAGGGCATGCTTCCACGCTGATGACGCTCGTTTAAAAAAAAATGTGTTCATTTAAATTTGTGACTGAACTCCTTGAGGGAGAATTGTATGTCCCCTGCTTTTATGTCCGTCCGTCCCCCCCCCCGTTTTACCTGCATTCTGCCATCTATTTCACGTTATAGCCGTCTTCGATAATGACCCAGCACATGTGGTTCACATTAAGAACACTTTCACTGCAGATTTCACAAAATGCAAAGAAGGTATCGATGTGAGATTTCTGAAGATAGCTACAGCACTCGACCCAAGATTTAAGAATCTGAAATGCCTTCCAAAATCTGATCGGGATGGGTTGTGGAGCATGCTATCAGAAGTCTTAAAAGAGCAACATTCCGATGCAGAAACTACAGAACCTGAACCACCAAAAAAGAAAATCAGCCTTCTGCTAGTGGCATCTGACTCAGATAATGAAAATGAACATGCGTTGGTCCACACTGCTTCGGATTGTTATTGAGTAGAACCCGTCATCAGCATGGACGCATGTGCCCTGGAAGGGTGGTTGAAGCATGAAAGGACATATGAATCTTTAGCACATCTGGCACGTAAATATCTTGCGATGCTGGCTATGACAGTGCCATGAGAACGCCTGTTCTCACTTTCAGGTGATGTAAACAAGAAACAGGCAGCATTATCTCCTGCAAATGTAAATAAACTTGTTTGTCTGGCTGAACAAGAAGTAGGACTGAGTGGACTTGCAGGCACTAAAATTTTACATTGTTTTATTTTTGAATGGAGTTTATTTTGTACATAATTCTACATTTGTAAGTTCAACTTTGATGATAAAGAGATTGCACTACAGTACTTGTATTAGATTAATTGAAAAACACCATTTTTTTTGTTTGTATACAGTGCAAACACTTGTAATCAAAAATAAATATTAAGTGAGCACTGTACTCTTTGTATTCTCTGTTGTAATTGAAATCAGTATATTTGAAAATGTAGAAACATCCCAAAATATTTAAATAAATGGTATTCTATTATTGTTTAATTGTGCGATTAATCATGATGAATTTTTTTAATTGCTTGACAGCCCTAGTTTTTAGTTGCTTAAAGATGCAAATCAGTGGAAGTTAGGCATCTGGTGGTTTTGAAAATCCCACTAGGCACCTACCTGCATTTTTCAGTAACTAAATACCCTTAAAAATCTGGCCCTGCATCTCTTGTCTATCAGTTTCTCTTTGTAAAACATTTTCTAATATTTCATATAAAGGACAATATAACCATGCACTGTGCGTGTTTAGTATTCACTTCATTTTGCACAGAAATGTATTGTATTACAAATATCCTTCTTTCTGTGTTTGTTTGCTCATATCCTTCATTAAAACACACCTCTTCTGCCAAGCCAGCCAATATTCTCTGAGTCACATTAGAAGTCAGGTTATTAGGTACTTATATTAATTTATTTTAAATGAAGTTCCCTGTACTAGCTTCTGATCATTCAGAACACTGTATTATTATTTCTTCATTGTAAACTTCTAATTCTATGGGGCAGGAATAATATCTTCATTGTTTGTACAGAAATGAGCACACTATAATGATTTAGTTAATAAAAATATGAAGAACGGGGCTCCAGAGATGATTGGAACTTTGTCTGTTAAATTTGCAGCAGTAAATTTTTGTTGTGTGTTTAGGGTTTCAGTGCAGGTGCCATCCTTTTAGAAGTGAGCTTGTTCTACCCTTCCTTCCTAGACCTCGGGAAGAGAGGATTCTGGCAAGCCAGGATTTCAGAGGTAGGGTCATTTTGCCAGGACAGCGCGTACTGGCAGAGGTGAAAGTAAGCCGGTCTGGTATGGCGTACCAGCAAGAGCCAGTACGCCGTGCCAGACCGGACCGGCTTCCCCAGGCTGGCGATTTAAAGGGCCCTGGGCTCCCTGCAGTGGCCGAAGCCCCAGGCCCTTTAAATTGCCTCCTGAGCCCTGGGGTACCGGCAGCAGGGCTCCAGCAGTGATTTAAAGGGCCCAGGGCTCCGGCCGCTGCGGGGAACCCCAGGTCCTTTAAATCGCTGCCCGAGCCCCACCGCTGGAGCCCTGGGGTAGCAGCGGCAAGGCTCCAGCGGTGATTTAAAGGGCCAGGGGCTCCGACCGCTGCGGGGGGCCCCAGGCCCTTTAAAGCGCTGCGCGAGCCCTGCTGCCAGACCCCCCAGGATAGCGGCGGTAGGGCTCCGTCGGTGGTTTAAAGGGCTTGGAGCTCTGCTGCGGTAGTGGCAGCCAGAGCCCCGGGCCCTTTAAATCACCCCTGAGCCCCGAGCCTCTGCAGCTGGTAGCTCCGGGGGTGATTTAAAAGCCCCAGGGCCCCCAGCCAGAGCCCCTGGGCCTTTAAATCTTGATTTAAAGGGCCCAGATATTTAAGGCCCCGCCCCTTCCGGTCGAGGCCCCGCCCCCTGCTCAGGATTCCGGCGTAACAATAAGTCCTTTAAGTTACTTTCACTCCGAGTACAGTGAAAAACAAAACAAAGAACTCTGCCAGATGTCCTGACAGGAATACAGACTTACGCAAGGTCTGTTAACAATGGACTCTGAGTCATCTCATATGTGGAATTGGAAAAAAATCCTGCAGGGTTGAAGCCTATTAGGGAGTGTTTATATTTATAGGATGATGTTTCCAGTTCTCTGTAAAATCATGCTCATAGTTTAAAGAGCAATTATCTAATCCCCTTGTCTGTCCTCACATTCCAGTCTGAGTGTAGAAATTAGTTTAGTCCTTGGGACTCTTTCCCAAGAAAGGATGAAATCAATGTTTTGGTATGTGGCTTTGTCCAGAGCGAGTGGGCAGCTGAGTTTATCCATCTTTTCCTTTCCAGATTTTGTTGGGTTGTTCTGTAGTGCATACTCTAGACAGAGAAGCTGCCCAGAGTCCTACTCTCATCTGACAATAGGAAGGAGCATTCTCTTGTCTCTTTTTCTCCCTTTTATTCAAAAAAGAAAAGAAACCCAGACAGTGTGAGCTAAAGGGTCCCAACTTGGTGGGAATGAACAATCTTAGTACATCTTCTGTTGGCACGCATAGGCTTTCTTAATCCCCATGTTATACACAAATTCTCTCCTAGATGCTGATGGGGAGTCTCTACAGTCCTTGTTTTCAGAGTGGGATAATCCTGTATTTGCTCGCTGCCCAGAGGTGGGTATTATTACGTTCTAGCGTTTCAGTGGGAGCCATTTCAATCTTGTCTTCTATTATGTTGATTTTTTAACTGAAATGGCAAATACTATAACTGTTGTGTATATTTATTCTGTTGTACATATACCAAGGGGCTTGTCTATGGTACCTTTTTATAGATTATTTGTGAGTTCATTTTGGGGTTTATGCAAATTAGAAGTGATTGGTATTACAGCTGATCTTAAAGAATACTGTACCTAGTGTTATTTGGAAACCAAAGTGTTATTGTGGGCTGAGTCTACAATGCAAAAATAATCACTTTGACTTAGGATAAAATTCTGTCCCTTGCAATACTCCCCTCCCCCTTGTATGTGTTATATGGGTCATTTAAATATGTTTGTAGCATTGGCAGGACCATAATGTGTGAGGGAGAAACAACATTGCACACTATGTCTATGGAGCTTTTAGAGCGATTTCCTTTATAGTCACAGGGAAGTATCTTTAATCAGTGTGAGTAAGTGTACAATTTCAGTCAGGATGTGCAATATGTATACAAATATTTCCACTTGTGTACAATACAGATGCAGGAGCAAACCACCTGCTGGTGAGTTTCTGAAGGGGAACAATTCTTTAGAACATCTGCTGTTGTAACAGTCATTCTGAGAGGATACATCTTCCTGGATGTTCAGCTCATTGAGTGTGTACATGTCGGCTGACAACTAATGTCAGATTGTCTAATGAAATAGCTCTTAGTGTGTGGGAAAGTGCTGAGAGAGGAGCAAAGAGATTACCAGATGGTATTTTGAGCTAGTTCTGTTCTTGTTAGAGGAACCAATGCACTAGGTACAGAGGGACCCCTTTCCAGAATAACCTTATTCAAAGCTGGCAGTTTGATTTTTGTGGCTTTAAACTCAGTAGTTAAATCTGCATCCTGTAAATTATCTGTGTTGATCTTTTTCACAGGTTGCTGTTGATGTGAGCAGTGGTCAGGCTGGCAGTCTGGCTGTGAAAATTCATAATATCTTATATCCCTATCGTTTCACCAAGGAAATGATTAATTCAATGCAGGTACAATAAGTCAGATAGCAGCTTTGTGTAAACACCAATGTTTCAACAGTATTTATTAATGTTTCTGCTGGATGAAAAAAACATAGTGAATTAAATAGATAATACTTTTAATTTGCAAAGAAAAGTATTTTTGGTTTGTGAGAGAGACACCAACAGATATATGCATATCAAGTTATATCTCAAAACCATCTCTTGGATGATTGTAAACAGTTACCTACAGAATGGTTCCCAACTTGCTTGAGTTTAAAGCTAGTTAAGTCAAGAAATAGCCGTGCTATCACTGCCTTGTAACTTACAGCACTATCATTGGCACTTCACTAAATAACATTTTGATAGGCAGTTGTAGGTGTACCTATTTGGTTAATTCCGATTCTTTGACATACATTTTCAAAAGAGATTTGCCGAAGAAATTCTGACCTTCAGCTGAGCAGTTTCAATAGCAATCCCATCTCATGTAAGGACTTTTACATTTATTTTGAAGTGTGGTTCTGCTCTGAAAAGGGACACTAAAAATGGCACAGTAAACATGAAACCCAGTTGTATCTTAGTGCTTCTGTATCAAATGTTTTGCTCATAAATTTTAAAATTAATATAAATATGCTGCCAACTTTGCACTTTTACCTTTGGGCTCTGAGAGCCAATCTGGGTTCTTTTCTTCTCTCACATCTAATCTAGTGCAGGTTCTGCAGCCCAAACTATATTCTTATTTACATCTATGCACTCACATTGCTTCCTGTGGTTTTGTAGAGTTATAAGTGGTTAGGACTTAGTAAAAAGATAGTATTAATGCACAAGGTGAACTAGAATCCAGTCCATTTTCTCTTAGTTGTGTTACCTCTGTAAGGTTAATGGGAGTAAAACCATTTGTCACTAATGGCAACAGCTTTGTCTGAAACACCGGGGAAGAGATCTAGAGACCTGAAGGTTTCATTTTTACATTAACTTTTTCAGGTGGAACTGCACTTTAACTCAACCAGTGGTCCCAATATTAACTATTGGTGAAGATAGGAGTTTTCCTCTGTAAAGTTTTGTATGTTTCCCTTCTAAAAATGGTTTTGCCAATGGATAATGAACATTTTGAATATATTACAGGTTCTTCACCAAGTGGACAATAAATTTATTGCTTGTTTAATCAACACTAGGAGTGAAGTGAATGCAGATGCAGGTAAGAATGCCCATTAGTATTAATTAGGTTGAGCTAGCCCTCAAGTACAGTTTCAGTACAGATAGGACACTGTCCTGGCATTCCGAAACATGTTCAGAAGATGTAATTTTTTTCAGGGGTGTATTCTTTTGGTCTGATAGTTCCGCGATGCTAAATGCAAAATAACAATGCCAAATTTCTGTTTCAGTAATATTAAGGCTCTACCTTGTATCTGACAAAAGCCAGGAAACCAAAAGCAAATGCCAGGACTGTGTCCTTATCTTCTGCTGTTGGGGGACAGGAGAAAAAGGCATGTTATTATGAATTAAGGAGAGTGATGGCCTTCACTTGGAATTTCCTGGATTTTTCTCTCTCTCTCTCTCTTGTTTTGGAGATTGCTAAAGGACTTTGTTCATGGTGCTCCTCAGATGCTGTGGTGATTAATGCTGCTATAGCTAAACACCTTATATTTCACATTACCAAAAGGTATTGGACTTCATTCTCAGTTAATGGATGCATTTCATCCTCTGTATTGAAACTAGCTTGAGCAATACAGAAATGCTCTCCAAACCAGTAGCTTCTTGTTTTTTATCTAATCTGCATAAAATGGAACAGATTGTAGTTGACCTCATCTTTAATATACAGAGAATAGGAATTTGTCTGATGACATCATCATACAAACCCCAGGTTTAAATGACTCATCTGGATCCTCACATTTAATTTCTGCATTATTTTATTTTCTGTTAAACCAACTTCCTCCTGAATTTAGCTCTGTTAAATAGACTGATCCCCAGCTGCTAAATCTGACCTCAGTGAGACATGGGCAATGCTCCTTCTTCCTCCCAACATGTGCAGTTGTTTGGAATGAAGGTGCCTGTTGTTAACCTCCTCCCTTACACTTCTAGATGGAAACCTGCTGGTGTTGGTGGATCAGCATGCAGCCCATGAGCGTATCCGCTTGGAGCAACTTATTGCAGGTGAGGATTCAGATGTCTAAAGAAAGCTCTTTACTGCCCCAACAAAGTGCAACTGAGAGAAGTCTCCAGGGGGAAAAGACCCCATGAGTCAGCATGCTAACAAAATTATTTTAAATATAAATTTCCTCACGGAGTCCAGGGATCCAGTATGATCCTCGACCTTTCCCATGTCATTGGCCCGTATGGGCATACAGGCATCTGGTAGTAGTATTGGCACCCAAAGGAGTACTGGGTGCCTTTCAAAACAGATAAAATGATCCATGCCCCAAGGAGCTTTCAGACTGAAATAGGTCTGGGGGCTAACAAGACAGGCAGGATGAATAAAGTCAGGAAAATGAGGATAACGTCAATAAGATTATGAGGTTTAGCAGTGTGGACTAATGGGTGGGATGATGGAGTAAAGAGCCTGGGTTGTTTTTGTTTAACTAAACACCATGATCAGAAGAGAAACCTAAAATTCAACACATTTAGTCATCTGAAACTGTATGCAGAAGGATAAAAGTCTTTTCTCTTGCCCAGCTAAATTTTGGTTATAGGTCTGTAAAACACAGTGCCCATCCATTGAGCACTTAAAAGATCACTGGCCTTCTCTTTCATCAAAAAGGGCCATGCAGTTCCTGCAAAGAGGATTCCAGAAAAGAAACATTGCTTATTTTGGCCTACTGGTGAAAACAGCTAAAGACTGAGAACCCTTCTGGGATTGAGGGAAATGGCTAATGAATGGTATTAAAATGGAGACTGTGTGTCAGGACCTAGCCATATCTAGTGGTTAGCAGCCTGGTTCAAGAGAATCTTGTTCCAGGTTATGGGGAATCAGACAGGCACTAGATTGAACTAATCCAGACAAGGTCAGGCACTATTAGGATCACCAGGACTCAGGCCAAGGTCAGGATACTCGTAATCAGGCAGATCAGAGTTTATAAAGCTGCGTGAGGGATCCAGACAGCAGCCACATAGAACCCAGTTGTGCAAACATCTTCTTGTACCTCTATTTGGATTTACATAGAAGCCCTGACCAATCAGTAGTACTGGTGTTCCTCCAGTAAGAGCCCAAGTGAGGCCTTCCCGACATAACTTCAGGTTTCATGATTTCTCTGCTGGGTTAGTTAGTAGCAAGCCACTGGGTGAGAGCAGTGAGGCATCAACTGACCGGAGAACCCGCAGACCCAGCCAGGTTTGAGATCTGCAGGGTCATGACACAATGCACTTATTTTAGATTGGGAGGAGAGATAACTCAGTGGTTTGAGCTTTGGCCTGCTAAACCCAGGGTTGCGAGTTCAATCCTTGAGGGCGCCATTTAGGGATCTGGGGCAAAAATCTGTCAGGGACAGTACTTGGTCCTGCTGTGAAGGCAGGGGACTGGACTCAATGACTTTTCAAGGTCCTTTCCAGTTCTATGAGATAAGATAGGTAGATTGTTCAATTCACAAGTGGCCATCCCATGAGTTGAGCTAACTCTTGTAATAACCTTTGCCATGTAGGATAACTCCTTTTTAACACTGAGGGGGGATCCAAGTGTGGAATTAATCATACTCCTTAGACAATGATTGTCGCTTCCATGACTATCCCTGTCCCCCATGAGTCCCAGGAGGAATTAAAGCACGGAGGGCTACATGCCAAGCCATAGGGCCATTGAGGATAAAGCCTGCGTGTACATTTTAAGAACAGTATTTGTAATTTTACCCACAGATTCCTATGAGAAGCAACCTGAAGAATCTGGCAAGAAGAAATTGCTGTCCTCCACCATCTGTCCCCCACTGGAGATTGAAGTAACAGAGGAGCAGAGAAGACTCTTACGGTTAGTAATGGTTGATGGCTCCAATATCTTGGATAGGACTCCGGTGAATAGGAGAATGTAATTTCTGTGTGTTGTTTTGGATACCACAGCCATTGCTGGAGTTGCTTTCATTCTGCTTTAGGTGCACACTGAGTGAGTTCCAATAGCTATAATGTGAGGAGAAGAGAATAGAGGGGTATGGGAAGTTCGTACGATGAATCATTAGAAAAGAAGAGTCTCTCTGCTCTTGGGTGACAGAAACCAGAATCACTACATGGAATAAGAAGTGAACATTGTCTCTCAAATGTTTTGGAATAGTGGATTGGCTACTGTCAGGAATTCTTCCATCCCATACAAGAATTTAGATTAGATGCAGATTTGATTTTGAGTAGTTACATTTATCTAGCATTAATTAGAGGTTTATTCAGAAATCTCTGCTCTCACTCTGAGCAGGAACTCAAGTGGTTTGGGTATTTACAGTTACAAGGTGTTCTCTCCTTTTGTGCTCAGAATGGGCTTGTTTGATAATGGGGACTTTTCTGCCCTTCTTGTGTGGACTCATTAGGAACATAAGAATATCTGTACTAGATCATATTGGTAGTCCATCTAATTCAGCAGTCTCCTTGACAGTGACCAGTGCCAAATGCTTCAGAGGCAGGTGCAAGAAATTACATAATGGATAACCATGGAATAACCTCTCCACAGAGGAACATTAAGAAAGAGGGTAAATAGGAGCTCCTGATTTACCTTCTTTATCCCTGTTCATTATTTTGTATGCCTCTGCCATCTCCTCTCTAAACAGTCCTAATATTCTTAATCTTTCTTCATAGGGAAGTCTTTCTGGACCATTAATAATTTTTGTCACCCATCTCTGAATCCCTTCTATTTCTTTTCTATCTTCTTTGAGATAGGGTGACCAGAACTGAACATAGTACTCCAGGTGAGGATATCCCATTGATTTATACAATGACATTGTGACGGGTTCCCCAGGGGTGCAACCTGGAACTGAAATACCACTGATTCCTCTGTCTCACCAACCTGGGGTCCCTCTTACACTGTGATGCTGTGGCAAGCTGCAAACCCCTCCTGCTGCACTTGTACAGACATCCACAGGCAGGGACACACCCAACTGAGTTATGTGAATGCTTTCATCAGTCACTCATGAACCAACAGTAGAGAGACTCCAGCCAATTCCCCACAGCTCCCCAGCCTAGGACCCCAGATCTGTACCGTCTTGCCCTGGTCAGAAGCCTGACTAGTGTAAGTCTGTTCTCCAGTCTGTCTGTCCCTCAATGTGGAGAAGACATGCACCAGCTCTTGTTCCTGAGCAGATTTCCCAAATACTTCAAGCAAAACCCATTGGTTTAGATAAAATATAAAACAGATTTATTAACTACAGAAAGATAGATTTTAAGTGATTATAAGGAGTAAGTGTACAGATCAAAGTTGGTCACCTAAAAAATAAAAGTAGAATCGCAATCTGAGTTCTATAAACTGGACAAGATTGGAATCAAGCAGTGTCTCACCCTGATGGTATAGTTCCTTAATACACAAGCTGGGATTCTCCTTTCCAGTCTTGAACCATCTCCCCATTTCAAAGTCTTTGTTCTCCAGGCATGTTTCCAGGTGTTGAGTTGTGGAGGGAGTGAGGGCAAGCGATGATGTCACTTCCCTCTTTTATAGCTTATTCTAGCTTGCTGGAAAGATCCTTTGCTTTGACATGAGTCAAGCTGTCTCCATTGTCTATGTGCTATCTCTGAGAAGTCTCCATTGTATATGGTTCCTGGGACAGTCCTTGTGAGTGTGTATTCTCCTTAATGGGCCATCATCAGTATCTGGCTGTTCCTTTGTTGTAAATGAAAGGCTGGTTGTGGGTGTTCCCAACCTTACAACCTATTTCAGTAACACACACACACACACACACACACAACAAACTTTGTAACTTCACGTACAATGATAGCTCATACAATCCAACGGGATATTAATGTTCAACAGATCAAGACTTTTAAATGATACCTCACAAGGCATACTCTGTACAAAGCATATCATAATCATATCACCGTGGTAAATATGGGGTGCCAGGGTGTTGCTTTGGGGTACAGAGTGTCACAGACATTACAATATTTCCATATTATTTTCTGTCTCATACTTTTTACACCCTACCATCTTGTGTGCTTTTTTGGCTGCCACTACACATTGAGCTGTTACAATGACAGACCGGTCTTTTTCCTTAGTGGTTGCAATTAATTTAGAACTTCAAATTCCCTGTTATCCTTCCTAATCTCCATCTTACCTGCTGGTTTTTTACTCCTTTCTATTGGCTTTACAAGAATTTGATAGCTTGTTTTGGAAAGATACATATTTGGCTTCAATAACCTCTTGTCCCTTATCAGTTAACCACAGTGGAATATTTTTGACCTTCCTGCTTGCTTGTTTAGGGCTATGCTTTCCTTCTGTAATTCTGTTATGATTACACAAGTGGCCTCCATGCAGAGTCTAATGATTTTAATTTCTTCATTCTTGACATTAGGGTCTCTTTGACTAGCTTCCTCTTTTAAAAAACATTCTCCTTTCTAAACTTGTGTCACAATTCTGGTTTTTAGTATGATTCCTCTCAGAGGATGTTGAACTTTATGATATTGTATATTTGTCACAGTAGTGCCTCACTACTAGGGCACTTCCTCCTGGCAGCTCTAGGAATTAGCTCTTTCTGGGTCCAATGCCCCATTTATCGCTTGTTTGCATGCCCTGCAGCCTCTTGCTCTCTGCGTCTCAGGGTGCTCTCTCTCTCTCCATGGCTTGGCCCTCCAGCCATCTCAATGTGTTTTCCCCCTTTTGGGGGATCAAAGTCTCTCCATTCAAATTATCTCAGGCAGTCTTCCCATTCGCTGCCTGGACTGTACCACTTCCCCAGTGGCTGGTGGGGAAATCCGGGCCTACCCTCTATTCCAGGTTCCAGCTCAGGGACCCTTTAATCAACAGCCAAGATCTACAACATCCCACCTTGCTACTATTTCCCTGAGCCTTGTCCTACTCTGCATCTCTCAGGCTTGCGCCACCACCCTTCTGGATAAACTCTTCCTTCAGGGTGTGGATTCCTGGGGTTTCTACTGTCTCCCTGGGTTTCCTCTTTTTTGTCTCTAATGCCTAGGGAGCGACTGCAGTCTTCTTCACTGCAGCCCTTTTCTGCTGCCAACTTCCTACCTTTATACTAGCTCCCTGTTCCCTCTTAGTAGGGCTACATCATCAATCAGGCATTGCTTAGGGCTTGTCTATACTTAAAACACTGCAGCAGTGCTGCTGTAACATTCCAGTGATGATGTTACCTATGCCGATAGGAGGGCTTCTCCCATCACTATATCTACATCAGCTCCCCAAGAGATGATACCTAGGTCGATGGGAGAATTCTTCTTTCTACCTAACACTGTCTACACAGGGAGTTAGGTCCATTTTAATTATATCATTCAGAGGTGTGGATTTTTCACACCCCTGAGCAACATAATTATATTGATCTAATTTCCTGGTGTCGCCCAGGCCTTAGCAAATCTAATTTTCCTCAGGCATGGCCTATCAGGTTAAATGTCTCTTCTCAGGCTCATTAACCCTTTCCAGGCTAGTGTGGGGGTGAATACCCCGTCACAATATTGCATTGCATGTATATAATATATTGTGGTCACTATTACCTGAACTTCCTGTGTGTATCTTAAGAAAAGAGAACTGTAGACATGGGGAAAAAGTGTACACCTTCCTATTGTGCAATAAAGCGAACTCCTGGGATCTCAGAACCATGGAGCCAGTATTCTGCACAAATTTAATGGAGAGAAATCTGAACGGAAAGAGAAGCATTGCTGGGAAATCCTGAGATGTCATTATATGGGTGGAGGAGATCGGAAGCTTCTGTGTGGAGAGTGCAGAAGTGTCCAGCTCTGGGACTGATCCTGTAGGTGTGTGGAAGAGGGTGCTTCAGTTTCTCATTTCTGAGGTTTTCTTCTCAGGTGCTGCCACAAAAGCCTGGAGGAAATAGGCCTTGAATTATCATTTCCAGAGAACAACAGCTCGCAGATTCTAGTTGGGAAAGTGCCCCTGTGTTTTATGGAGAGAGAGGCCAATGAATTACGACGGAAAAGACAGCCTGTGGCTAAAAGCATTGTGGAGGTTAGTCCTGGATGCGGAACTTGAGCAAATTACGTTGTGATGGTGTCATTCTGCTCTATATTAATGGTGCAGGGTGTTGGAAGAGTGGCTCCTAAGTGAAAAAGCTAAAGAGAGCCCTTGCTATGCTTTCAGTAGAATATTTATCCATGTCTGCTGGCCTCAGGACTGGGTCTTTGCTGGTGTACTTTTCATCTTAAGTGAGAAAGTAGCTCCTCCTGAAAATGAAAGGAGCATGACTTACTCATGCTGTTCTGTCCCTGCCGGATAAAATAGCAAAGATTTACTTATTAATTTGCATTAGAGGCTACATGGATGGATGGAGAGACTATTATTTTAAGTTTAATACAACTAAAATGAGACTCCCTAGTACAGAGGCTAGTGTTCAGCAGTGTGGGCAACAAGGTTGTTTAAGAGGGGTCCTGCTATTTCTGGTGAAGAGGAGTGGGACACCAGCCTCTCTCCCCTAGATCTGTGTGGCAGCAGAATTGATAATACATACCATCTCATGTGCCTTAGACAGAGAGGCAATGTTAATAATAGAGCACTAGACTGGGACTCAGGAGAGCTCAGTTCTATTCCCAGTTTGGCCCTGGCCTGCTGGCATGTGACCCGGGGCAAGTCACCTCACCTCTCTCTGCCTCAGTTTCCCTGTAATAATAATGATGTTCCTTTGTAAAGTGTTTTTGAGATCTACTAAAAAAAGCAGTAGGTTATAATTTATTATTATTGAGCACAATTAGTGTTAAGCAGTGGTGTTTGTTTTCTTTTAGTCCCATAACTAGGGTAACTCTAAGTCTATAACTGACATAATTAGGGATGATTGCAGATTTGGGGAAGTGGATGAAATAAAAATCATAGTGGGTGAGTTGCAAGGAGGATTGCATTTAAAGATGAGAACACATTAAAACATTATTGTTTTAAAGACTCTCTTGCTCCAGTTGTATCTGTGTGGCTTTCAGTTGCACCTGGGAGGAGTTTAAACTTTGAAATTCCTTAGAAAATGTTGGTGGCATGAAACAATACCTGCAATCAGGAATCAGATTTGAAAAATATAAGTGGCAGTAAACTCTCAGATTCTGCTCACAACTCAAACTCCATTCACCATGCCAAAATCATATACCTCTTATAGCAGATCATTCATAATTTGACTGCCCCTCTTTCTCGAGTGCTTTGATCAACAGTGACATAGTTAACAAGACTGACATTTAATTGCCATCATTAGGTGTCAGAGTTGTCTTCTCCTATAAACAAATAGGGGCAGTTCATCCCTCTCAGAGCTATTGTTTCAGGCTTTCTGAAAACTGAGGCATCGATTGCTTGTAGTCCATATTTTGAAGATTTTCTTCACACCCATAAGTATTAGAGACATTTAAAAAAAAAACAACGCTTATGGATAGCTCAGTTGTTTGAGCATTGGCCTGCTAAACCCAGCGTTGTGAGTTCAATCCTTGAGGGGGCCATTTAGGGATCTGGGGCAAAAAAAAATGTCAGGAACAGTACTTGGTCTTGCTAGTGAAAGCAGGGGACTGGACTCGATGACCTTTCAAGGTCCTTTCCAGTTCTATGAGATAGGTATAATAACAAGATGCAGCCACCAGGCTGAGCCATTCCAATCCTACTCCTGTTTGCAGTATGTTTCTCTTTTGTTCATGTGTAAGAGTTTATATACAGGGAAGGTGCCCTTTTCAAGAGGTGATACTGCTGATCTCTTGGGGCAAAAAGACGAGGTTGTGAAATGCTGTTGGCTTAAAAAATTGACCCATTTCCTTGTACTTAATATGGGAAACTTGGAGACCTTAAGCTTACAAGACAAGTGTCATAACCACCCCAATACAGACCTGCTTGGATTTGACTCATTGAAGGGAGCCCTTTTTTGAACAAATATTTGGTTTTATGGTGTTTGCTCTTATTCCCCATTATATGTCATCTGCTGAATGATATTAGCAATATGAAAAATCAGGAAAGCTTTTCCTCCAATCTATGAATAATAACTAGGTGTGAGAGGATATCTACTAGTTATAAAATCTTGAAGGACATGATGACCAGAAACAATCAGATCAGTTCACTAACTACAGATAATACTTCCTTTGTTTAATAAATCAGTTAGTTTTAAATTTAAAACATGTTTTGCTAAACTTTATGCTAAACATTTTTCTTTCGTATGTATCCTACGCATTTAAAATAGTTGTATTCTAAAAATAAAAATCTGTTTTTTGTATTTTAAAATTAATTTTAATTTCCATCAAAGCAGAGATTGGCACAAATCACAAGTAAAAACATAATAATCATCTAGTAAATAAGAAATGCATAATTCACCATTTTCTAACATAGTAAAAGATGTAAAAGTTAAGAATCTTAATAAATGTAAGTTAAGCTATATAATTACTTAAATAAATGTGTATAGATATACTGTATCTTCCTGGTTAGCAAAAACTAAAAGACTCTTCAAATTTAGTGTAAAGGCTATCTTTAGTTGCAATTCAACTTGGTTTTGTGGTTACCAACCAATGAAACCAACTTTTCTTTAGGAAAATAAATTGTTTAAATGTTTTAAATCAGCGTTTTCTGCTTGCTGATTTAAATTGCGATTAAAATCAGTGATTTAAATTACTTTGATTTAAATTAATCCACCCTGTTAGAAAACAGCATTTTCTGACACATCAAGTACATTCTTTTTTGAGTGATTGTCCACATGGGTCACATGTATATGAGGTCTGATTCTTTTGGCTAGCAATGTCCATGAGGGCCACACCTGTGCCCTGGATGTCCTCATGCCTCTCTTCTCCCCTTTTCCATTGCTAGAGATAAAGGATAGAGTAGACCCAGCTGTCCCTCAACTCCTTCTTACTGCCTGTGGCTGCAAGCAGAAACCCTGCAGCATCTTCTTCTCTGCACACTGTGTGACTTTACTGATCATGCATGTACTTTTATTTTTATAATATATATTATATAAAAAGAGAGAGAGATTAGTATAGTTAGTGTAGTGTCTTTTTTACACTTAGTGGCTATATATAAAAACAAACAAACAAAACCCTCTTATTAATGTTAGGGACTTCCCCAGTACCAGGATTTAGTCACTGTGGCTGAAAGGAAGTCCCAAGGATTCAAAACTTGCTCCTCCTATGATTCAGTTAGTCCGCTTAATGATTGGCACTCACAGTGTTAGATGCTCAATCTGTTGCCTCTTCTCCAGTAGGACACAGAAGGTGAGAAAGGTCCACCTTAAACATTTTTTCCTGAAGCTCTCAGGTAGAGCCTCCTCAGAACCGGAGAGAAAAGGGCCTCTCTGGCCTGAACAGGCTTCCTCAGTCAATGTTTCGGTTTTCTGAATAGGGTAGGAAGGAATATCTTTCCCACAGCAAGCACAGACCTCAGTCACCCTTCTTGGGACCTAGTAAAAGGAGGCATAGATATCCTCAGACTATTAAGACAAAGGGTAGATCATGGCCCAAATTAGGTTCTTCTGACACCCTGATAAAACCCAATTGCTGAACACACATGGTACTGTCTCAGGCAGTGGTCCACATTTCATCTGGTACTGACTGTCAGTGCATGAGATGTCAATGACTTGTCACTTCTGAATCTGGTACTGACCACTACAGTACAGATGCTCCCAGCACTGACTTTCTTGGCACTGAAGTTATTTGTGGTGTCGTGTGATCTTGCAGTGACCATGAAGCCTGAGTCACCATTAGTATTCTCAGCTATAAGAGTGCCCTCTGTATTTTGGTATTCACTACCAGTATAGCTACAGTACCAGTCAACTCTTCAGCTGCAGTGGTGGGGAAGACTCCAGTTCACCCCAAAACTCTGGTTAGGGTAGAGGAGGAGTACTCATTTTCTTTCTCTCCTTCTGAGCATAGTAGGGAGGATATCCCACGGCCACTCATCTCTTTCCCATTCATATGACCTTTACTGGTCTAATAGGGAATCTAGGAGTTGTAGATGTAGACTTATGGGATCTCAGGGAGAGCACTCACCACAGGGGGGAGGGATAGCTCAGTGGTTTGAGCATTGGCCTGCTAAACCCAGGGTTGTGAGTTCAATCCTTGAGGGGGCCATTTAGGGATCGGGGGCAAAAAATCTGTCTGGGGATTGGTCCTGCTTTGAGCATCCTGAGGTCCCTTCCAACCCTGATATTCTATTCTATGATATCCGCCCCCAGCCCCTTATTCTACGACGTGCAACCTTGGGGTCTTTGGGGTATGCAACCAACCATAGGCGCCAACGTCTTCTTGCGCTGGTGGGTGCTCGACCCCCCCACACACTTCCCCCAGCCCTGCCCCAACTCCACCCTGCTCCCATTCCAACCACTTCCCCAAAGACCTTGCACCAACTCCACCCCATCCCTGCCCTTATTCCGATTCCTTTCCCAAATCCCCGCCCCGGCCCTGCCTCCTCCCCTGAGCATGCCACGTTCCCAATCCTCCCCCCTCCCTCCCGGAGCTTGCTGCGCCACCAAACAGCTGTTTGATGCCGGCAAGCGCTGGGAGGTAGGCAGAGGAGCGGGGACACGGCACGCTCAGGGGAGAAGGAGGAGGTGAGGTGAGGTGGGGCGGGGAGGGGAGCTTGGCTACCGGTGGGTGCAGAGCACCCACTAATTTTTTCCCAGCCCCAGAGCATCCACGGAGTTGGCGCCTTTGAAACCACAAGGAAAACTACCTCCACTACCCCTTGTAGACTTAGATCTCATTCCCCTATGAAACTTCATAGAGTGCTCAAGGGGCGCTGCTGGTGCAGACTCACAATATAGCACAGGAAGATGAGGAAGAACACCTGCAGATGGTAGAGCACTTGATCCCAGCAGTAGTCTACTCTTCCTCACCAGATTAGGCAATAGGGCCCTCCACTTCCACGCAGCCGGATGATTGGAAAACATTTCAGTAACTGCTGCATTACATGTTAGAAATCCCCATGGAGATAGAGCAGGAAGACTCACTCAAGTCTGCCTGAAAGCTGTGCCATGCCAATTAATGAGGGGCTGTTGGAGCCAGAAAAAAAATTGTAGTAGACCCCATCATCTGTGGCACCTACTTCTAAAAAGGCAGATAGGTGCTGTCAAGTCTGTCATAACATTGGACAGATGGTGCTAGAGATCATCACCCATGGCTACCCTGCACTTCTACTCCTTGCCCCCTATGCTTCCTTCCCCATCTCTCTTCGGGAATCCTTCTCACGAGAGCCTATTACAAGCAGAAATGGCCTTATTGCTTCATGTAGGAGCCATAGAAGAAGGGCCCTCAGAATTCAGGGGAAGAGGCTTCTACTCTGTTTTTCCTCATTTCGAAGAAAAAAGGGGGTCTTTGTCCTATCCCCTAGACCAGAGGAGATTCAACAAATATATATGCCACCTCAGATTCAGGATGGTAATACTTGCCTCCATCATTCCATTTCTTGTGGCTCAGGACTAGTTTGTAGCTCTTGACTTACTGGATGTGTACTTCCATAGAGCTATCCACCCATCCCACAGGAAGTACCTGAGAATCACAGCAGGGCCCAACTATTACCAATACAGGTCTGTCCATGGCACCATGAGTATTCACAAAATGTCTGGCAGGGATGGCAGTGCATTTAAGGAGAAAAGGTATCCATGTCTACCCATATCTGAATGAGCAGAGGAAGGTCCAAGTAGGAGACTACAGTATCAGTTCTTTCCTTGTTTTCCCAACTGGGATTCTTTGTGAACTGCAAGAAATCGTCTCTCACCCCATAACAGACAATAGAGTTCATAGGAACCATGATCAGTTCTTGATCAGCAAATCCCTACCTCCAAGAGGACAGGTTATAGTCTCTCCAGTCCATAATAAATGAGCTAAAATTGACTTTAACAAGGTTGGTGTGTACATGCTTAGGACTATTGGACCATATGACAGCATACACGTATGTGACACTGCTTGCCAGACTTCACTTGTGGTCCTTGCAGTTATGGCTGAGGTTTGTATACTTCCTGTCAAAGTATCACATGAGCAAGAGAGTCCTGGTCCCACCCAGATTCTATGAGAACTCAGTCGGTGGCTGGGAACATATAGAAGAGGGTTTCCTTCTCGATCCCCTCCCTGACCAAACTCATCACAGACACCTAAGGTACAGGTTGGGGGTGCCATCTGCATATGCAAGGGACCTGGTTTGAAATTGCATGTGAACATCCTGGAGTTCAGGGCTTCCAGCTGGCCTGCATGGCATTCCAGCTTGTTCTGCAGGACTCCATGGTGCAGATCTTGACAGACAATATATCCACAATGCACTATATAAAGAAGCAAGGAGGTGCTCGGTCATCCCCTCTCTGCCATGAGGCCATCAAGCTAAAGACTAACTGCGTATGTAATTGTATTAAATCATGCCATGACTTAGCTAGATTAGATCTATTCTATATAGGTTCTTAGACTGAACTTATCACTGTAGTATCTGAGCACCTTCCAGTAGTGCACTAAGCAATGTGACTAAACATCTGTCATGTGTTGTTTTGTTTTCTTATCCTCTCCTTAGGGAGAGAAGTGTATGCAGTGGAGTGTCACGTGTTGGTAGGGCTTTAGAGCGTTGGGGTTTTGGGGTTTTTTTTTTTTTTTTTT